GGCAGCACAGGGGGGAATGAAAGGGAAGGTGAGCATGCCCTCACAGCTTCCATAGCTCAGAGGCATTCTGGGACAGGAAAAACAAAGTTACAAACTTCCGTGTTGGAAAGAAGGGTTCTCTTCTCTCAACCCCGTGCTTTCCTGGGCTAAAGAAACTTCAAGCAGCTGGAAATGCCAGCAGGGCCCTCTCTTTACTCTATCCGGCCTCTCGCCGTGGGGCTGAGGAGAGAAACTTCAGTAACCATGGGAACTTGACGCCAGGTAAACAATTAGGAGAAAGAGAAGCTGAGGGGAAATCGCAACTGAAAGATGGGAAAAGATACATTTCAGGCTATCAACTACAACATCATCCAACACTTAACCCAACACTGGCAATGCCACCACTAAACCATGTCCCCAAGTGCCACATTCAGGTGTTTTGAATGCTGCCAGGGAAGTCAAACCACTTTTCAGCCCAGAACTGATGTGGGGAGGCTCCTCTGGGCCCTGCCTCTCTACTTCTTTATCCCTGTGTTCATCCCTGGACAACCAACTTGCACTTCCCTGAAGAAACCAGCTCCTTTGAATTGTTTTTCTAGTGTTGCCTTTTGTTTTTGTTTCTTTTGCTGTCATCCACGTGGCAGCTGCTGGGGTTACCACTGTTATTACAGCTGTTAATATTGCATGATCAAATGAATTGTTAATTGCCGAGCCTCTGAAGAGCAGACAGGGGCTGCTCACTGCCTCCAGGACACATGGGAGGCTGTCAGGGACAGCTGGGACCTGGTGTCAGATCAATCATGAACTGGAGGCTTGCATCAGAAGGTGGTTTTGGAAGCGAGGAAGCAGATCCAGTGTTGAGAATGTTCCTCAAACAGATGCATTCCTCCCTCTTGCTGAAAGGTTCCCCTTGAGGTGTCAGCCTGCCTTAGCTGTAGTTACCTGACAGGTAAAAGTGCTACCAGCTCCTGGTGTAGGAAATATTTTTGTGTCCTGTGCTGTAGGACCTGTTTAGAGATGTTTACAATGTGCAAAATTAATCCTATCAGTGCTGAGGAATGCTGATTTTGGTTTTTGTCTCTCTCCCCTCCCTTCCCAACAAGGCCCAGCTGTCTCTGAGCGCTGCTGCCTGCCTTGGCACCCTGCTGTTATTTAAGGAAAGTTGATGCAGATTTGCTGTTTTCACTTATTTTTTTATGAACATTGAAGATATTTTGCCTCCTAGGCAACACTTCCCCCCCCAACCCCATTTTTAGCTCTCCCAACAGTATTAGGGAATACTACTTAGAAGCACAAAAGGGAAAAACTGGAGAGCAGCTTGATGAGTGCTGCTCTCATTTGAGGGCAGACAAATCATTCCATATGAAATTGATGTGGTATGACAGCATAAAGAGCAAATGTAATTTCATCTTGCATTATTATTTATTAGATTTATAACAAAACTGCAGTTACAGGGTAGCCTTGCTCATTCAAATATGCTGAGACAGGATCAGTTTGCACACAAGTAAATGTTAATAGTATTGCAGTGAAGCTGCTGTTAGCACAAAAATGCATTCATTAGAGATAGTGGTGAGGTTTTACTTTGAAATAATGAATTTGTGACTTAAAAGCATGTACATTGAGTTCCAAAGCCCACTTGTGGTGGCACTGGCCCCAGAACAGCGGAGGTGGCAACAGAACTTCATCACAGTGACATTCCTTTAATCTCCTCAAGTCACTTCTGTAAAGGAAGCTCTGTCTACACATGGATGTCCCATCTATTGTTTCTGCTTCTGCTGATAAATAGAGTTGATGAAATATAGCTATTTAAATTTTTTTAAAATAAAAATAATTTTATTTTTTCTCTTCTAGCTTTGCCAAAAACCCCTAAACCCTCTAAGTATCTCTGTGCTGGTGTCACAGTTAGCAGAAAGGTGAAATAGCAGCAGACCAGTACAAAGCTGACAGGAATTAGTTTCTCTTCCCTGATTCTCTTCAAATGTATCCACCTGTTTTTCAAGAATTGAGAGGCTGCAATGTTAGAAAATGCAAAAGCAAACAAAAACCCTTATTTTTGGAAAAACAAATTTCCATTTTCCCCTTGAATCTTACATCTTAGTCAATAGATAACAAGGGTGGAGGATGGAGAGAACTATGAAGAAGGATCCTTGGGAATATCAGCCTACCTGCCTTTTAATCTGCATGAATTCTATTTCAATTACAGTAATTTCATCTACAGAAGTGAAAATTGCACTGATGAAATACAACAGTGCTCTTTGACAACTGGCTTTTGGGAAGACATTCACATAGGGGCATGACTTCTGTAAAGAAAGAGAAATCCTTGCTGGTCCACTTCCTTTACTTCGAAAGTGGTGCAAGGGAAGGTGATGATATGCTCTGGTGTTTGGTGGTTTGTTTTTTTTTTTTCTGTTGAGAAATTGCAGCTTAAGAATGTTTTCACTTAGAAAACGAGACAGCAGGAATCTAAAAGGAGCTTGCAGAAGGATAACAAAAGGCTTCCAACATTCCAATTAAATAAATTCATCCAATTTTCCCTTTTCTCGCAGCATGAGATGGGTAAAACACGGACAGACGCTGTGGATAGTGGATGTGTGGGACCATATCCTTGTTCCACTGACATCTGACTGCCAGAGAATGAGTGAGTGCTCCTGGGTGGATGTTGGCAGGCTGCTGGAGACACTGGTGGGTCTGGTGGAGGTGGGACTGTTGACACGTGCTGGAAGCCATGGATCCTTCCAGCCCAGAGTGGATTTGCATCCCCACGGCTCAGAGCGTGGCTTAAATCTGCAGCCAGACCAGGTAACACTCGCTGGGCCCTCATTCTCTGCTGTTTTGGTCCTGCTGAAACATCAGCCCAACGTGTGTGTTGGAAAAGAAGACCATCAGTGTGAAGGAAGAGTGAGTAGACTGTGCTGGAGCTGGTCCACGCTTGTAAGTGTAAGTTAATGATCAAATGTGATCATAGGGAAACTCATTTTCTTGAGAGCATACATTTAAAAAGAGATATTAACACTGTAGGGTGGTAATCAGACACTGCAATATCCATGACAGAATGCCAGTGTTCCAGACATCTGACAAATCCAGCATTTGTTATTTACCTATCCAAACTACTTTGCTTTGGAAAAGCAGTGCTGAGTGCCAGCCAGAAGGGTGTTCATTACAAATTCAATGCAACATGCAGTCAGCTTCAGCACAGAGCTGACTGTGGCTCTACTTATAAGGCAGAAAGTATATTAATTGGTCCATAATTCAAGCTGAAATAAGGAATAGAGAGAGATAAGATGAGCTGTCAAGGGAAGTAGCTACATTAACTGGTGAATTTTGGGGAGTGAGTTGAGGGAAAGGAGCACTTACCCTTGAGAACTGCACAAGATAATTTGTAAAGTCATTAGTCTTATGAATTATTTTGACTGTTATTGTTATTAATTTTTTGTACTGAAGTAGCACTTGGAGAAAGGAGTTATGCTAAAAATCCTCCTGACTCCTGCTAAAGCACACAATAAAAAGGCAGTCTTTCCCCTGAAGAGCTTTCAGTCTTAATGCCACTCCATATTCACAGTGTTCATCATTTCATCTGGTATTTCCATCCTCTTTATTCTGGTACATAGCACCTGAACTTCTTTCTCAGAGCTGTGTTGGTGTTTGGAAAATCTGAAATTCATGCATCTGCACTTTTATGTCTGACTATTGTTTGGTTTTCCTCTGCTCAGTGGTTCTTTTTCTCACTATTAACATTCCCCTTCTCTTATTCCCTTCTCTCCTTTTCTGCAATTTCTTGTATTGTCCCAGTCTCCATTTTTAAACCTTTGTCCCAGTTCTCTCTTATTTTCCATGGATGCTTTTTTGCCTGACATTTTCCCTCTTGGTTCTTCTTGCAATTTTGGGGGAGATCTGTGAACAAACAACTCCCGCCGTCATCTGTCCAAAGGCAATTTTTCTGGTGAATTGCTCTATCCCTCTTCACTTTCCATATCCATCAAGAATCCTCCAAGAGGGAAAGGTCATGGGGAGAAAGCACAACTTTTAATAGAGAAGATGATTGCATTAGGGAGAGAAGCATTGCCAGCAGGTCGAGGGAAGTGATCCTGCCCCTCTACTCACGATTTCTGGGGGGCCTGAATCTGGAGAGTCTTTAGTACAAGACAAGTACACTGAATTTATTTTTGGATAACACCTGGGTATTACAGATTTTATAAGTAAATAAGCATTGGGTGCTCCCTGGCAAAGCTGTCTATTGGATCATTGTGAAGAAATAGAAATTTGGCAAAAGCACCAAGTCAATTGTCATCAGCTTGTCCCTCAGCTCTGCTGTTAATTGTGGTGCCTCACTGTAGTTTGTTTGCAATAATTCCAGCTGTACTGCCAGGGCAGCCTTTAAACAGAATTGCTGTTTTTGTAACAACTGTTATTGTTCAAGAACTGCATTTTTCAATTAGGGGGAATATATGAGATACATTATCTGTAACAATCTCTTTTAATGATAACAACAGATATAATAATTAGTCCAGTGTATGAAATTAAAAGATATTTGAATAATTATAGTGTAATCAAGTCAAAATTACTGATGTCTTTATTTGAGGCTAGATTGTGTGGAAAACACCACAGGAAAATAAGTGCTTTGTAATCTAAAAGGCAGTAGTATTTGATAGCACATTTGCATATATATCATCAAGTAAGTTTGGTTTATGCCTTCCAAAGACTTAAAATATAAATACTGGTCATTAGGCCAGGTTTCAGAGGCTTGGGTACGACAGCAACTCCTTTTGTGGTTCAGTCAGGTGGATTTGCAGCATAAAGGTGAATTTAATGGTGCTCAGCAGGGTGGCTCAGAAATATCTGCATTCTAAATGCCTGTTCATTGTATTTTCTTGGGAAAGTTTCACTTTTTCCAGTTTCTTTCTCCCCTTTCTTGTCTGATGCTGCACATGCTCTTTAATCAAAGATAAATAAACAAAAAGACCAGGGAGCCCAGAGACATCATTTCTAGGTAAAAACAGAAATTTTTTTATTATGTGGAAATAAAAACAAGAGCCCCCTGCAAAGCAAGCAAACAAAACCAAACCAAATCAAACATAAGCAAAATAAAAAGAGACCACACATGAATCCCAAATTCCCAGCTACCCCCTCACCCCATCTCCTTTTCAGACTTTAAAGAAATCAACCTCATATGTAATTCTTTACCTTTAATAGCAGGTGCTGACTCACCAAGCCAGAGGGCACAGTTCAGAGGTCTGGCAGAATTACAGCTGGTGGGCTTCAGGCATTGCCTGTGTCAAAGGAGAACTGGAAATAGTTGTTTATGTGTATGAAAAAGATGGTAAGGAAGTATTTTTATCATTTGACTTTACTGCAGGAACTTATAAAGGCTATGTTTATATTTTATTTTCTTGAGGGATGTAATTCCCCAAAGTAATATAAAATATTGGTGGCAAAACCTCAGTTTTCAAGCTGGGCTCTGAATTTTAAAGGGGGCTTCTGAGAGACTGTGCTGATACCTTTGGTTGGTAAATTGAGATCTGAGACTGTGCTGGTGGTGTAGATGAGGGGCTACAGAGATGCATTTAAAAATAAAACTTCTTTCCAACTTGCCCATACAAACAGAAACACTTGACCCTCAAGAAGGTAACAGGCATCTCATGATTTATTGTAGACTAGAGTTCATTCTTTTACCTGACAGAAAAACATTTGCAAGTGCAAAGGGACTGATTCAGAGGGAATTGACTCTATTAACTGCAATTTTTCATCCACTTTTCCACATCAGCAGCGAATTTACCTTTTCTCTGGGTTTGACATCGAGTATCTTTAGTGTCCTGAAGGTCACAAGTGTTTCTCCAGCCCCATGGGTGCAATAACCAACAAGAAGAATAATCCATGCAGGATTTGCTTTCCATTACACAGAGGATGCTGGCAAAACAGGAGACTTCTTTACTTCCTATGTGGTCATTTAATGAATGTGCAATTCATTTTATAGTTTGTTATTACTAAAAAATAATTGCAAAACAGAGCAAATACTAGTTTTGCACTAAAGACAATGAAAACAAACAGGAAAGTAATTTTAGGATTTGAGATGAGGTTTTAAAACAGGAGGTTTCTGTGTTTCTATGGACAATTTAGTTTGTTTTACATGAAGACCTCTCTGATGAAGACCCCCCATGCCACCTCCAGTCCTTTGAAAGCAAGATGAGTAACAAGATTTCTCACAGAGAAACATTCTGCAGCTTTTACTAGATGCAAGCATACTTCCAGAAAGCTCAGAATTGCTAAGAGGTAAATTGATTAAATTTATCCTAAATGCCCCTTTCAGCAGGTTAGGAAATGTATCCCCTGGTTTTGGTGTGTCACACAGAATGATTTGAGACCTGACCTTTTAATGAGTTTTGCCAATACAGTTGAATAATTTTTACTCAGAATTTACTTACTTCTTCAGTGTCTTGCTTAATTTGATTTGTGAATCTATTTTTTTTTTTTCTTTTGCTTTAAAGTCATGGTTTTTATATTCAGTTTTTCCAATGCTTCAGTAGTAACTTCTGTTATCCTTGACATTTCTGTGTCACCATAATATGAACTGCTGCAGTGGGAAACTTGATCCTCTAATCTGTCTAGCTCAGATGCATTGTTCGTATGGAGACATTTTCTAATTCAGTGTATTTATTAACAGCTCTGAGCACTCTGTCTGTGCTGGCATCTGCAATAGGTGCAGTTTTATTAATGGAAACTGTAGTCAAAGAGTGCCCTCATGTCTGGTTCCACTGGCTGGAATGACTGGTCCATATGATTGCAGGATTCAGCTCTCTGCCTTTTGGTTGAAGCAGCTGTAAAATGTATATAAATGTACATAATAAATACAGATGTGTGCTTATGTATCCAGGTTGCCAGTTTATCAACTCTTTTATTGGAAGGCAGATCTGAATATTAACCCAAACTTTCCTAAGTTTTCCTAGGAATCCTAAAAACAATTTGTGCTAGTTGTTCAAGAAAACATTCTGGCAGTTTTGGGCTTTCAGATGAGTGACCAGTTTTCTGTAGAAAGAGTTTTTTTTCTGGGATGTTTTTCCAGAACCTCTGGCTTAGCAGATGGAACATTTCTGACCACTCATATTATTTTATTACTTTATTTCTCATCTGTTTAGTCTCAAAATGGAATTGGTTATGACAAATAACTGGCAACTGGTCTGGATGAGTTTGCAGGGTAACTGATCTTGCCACTTTCATTTGAATTCTGGAAAAGACACATAGCAAGGTGTGAATATAAAATAGATATAAATACTTTCATAAACTTGTTATTCTTATTAATAAATATTAAAAATAAATATTATTATTATTTTATTTAACAAAAACAATATCTGGATCTACAAGTGCTTTTAATAAATTCAAAACAAACTGCTTTACTGTATGTAGAAAATCACAGGATGGGGTGAAGATTAGTGATGTGATGTTGGTACAGTTCAGCTGAAGACTAATGGCAAATAGCATCATAACATTCAGAAAGGGAATTGAGTATTACATAGGTGTCTTGGTTTGAAAAGACAGGTGTCTGCTGAGGAAGGCAGGAACCTCCCTTGAAATGGAAAAATGTAAACACCCCACCTCAGAATTATTATAATCTTGAAATCAAGGGACTCTCAGGGAAATATAAGGGAATAGGAATAACAGTTCTTTACTAGGAAAATTAAAATAAAATGCAGTAGTACAAAAAAACCCAGACCACTGACAAAGTCAAAACACAAGGTGACAGCCTGTTGGTCAGGGTGTTGGTAGCAGTCCCATTAAATGCTGGCTGCAGTCCTCCTGCAGTGACAGATGTGGTTCTGCTGAAGCAGTGATCCTGTAGAAGGGTGGAGTTTTCCTCTGAAGGTCCAGTGGTGTAGATGGGTCTGGTCTTCCTTTGGGAATCCAGTGGAGAAAGGCTGCTGTGGTATTCCAAATTTCAGATTCTATCCAGGTGGGAATGCTTGGCTCCTCCCCCTGGTTGGAGCATCTCACACTGGGATGATGTAATTTTATCAGTCATGCAGTGAGACTCAGTGGCCCATGAACAGAAGAGATCCCTCTGGAGGGAGGATGGGTCATGGAAGAGATAAAGAACACTGCCCCACCTGGTTTTAACAGATGGGAATAGAATACATACTTTTGGTTACATCTTGCACTGCAACTCAGGACTATTTGCAATAGCAAATAAATACTGCACCCCCATGAAACGAGGATTCATCTCACTTACAATTATTCCATGTTGGAGGCATGATAGAAAAGTGTATTCCTGGTGTATCAAAACTTTCTTCACTCTCCCTTCAAAGAAAGCCCAAGGAAAAAAAGGTTACACACAGTCTCCCAGAAAGAAGCAGGATGAACAGATCCCTCAAGCTGAAAAGCAAGAAAATCCTCAGCACTAATAATGTTTTCTATTACCAAGTGCTCTGTAATCTGAAAACTAAAAACAAGAGCAAATGTTATTCCTATTTACCTGTATGTGCTATACTATAAACATGCTCAAAAGTTGTTTTTTTTGTTGTTTTTGTTTCAGAAATACTCATTAATGACTGTGATTTATTGTCAAGATAATATAAACCGATTGGGAAAAATATAAGTTTTCAACATGCAACTGTTTTGAAAAAATGGAAATTAATTTTTCTCAAGAGTTGGCACATTTATTAGGAAGCCCTTTTTCTTGGAGAAACAAGCCAGTGCTAGATGGCAAGGCAAAGGAGTTAGAAGTTTAGCCATTAATTGATTAGGGATAGCTAACTTGGAAATGTGTATTATCTTTACAATGAATTCTGCTTGGTAGAAAATGTGTATTGTCTGTGACCTCTGCTGTGCTTTCAAAAGCAGATGGACATCTGCTGTGCTGGCAAAACAGCGTGAAAGAACGCAGCACTCTTTGATGAGGAAGGAGTTGTAACCTCAAGACAGGATGAAGTGAGACAGGAATGCAGAGACTGAGATAGGAAGGATTGCTTAGATCCCACAACTGGCCAGGACTAGTCTTGCAGCTTGGACTCTGACCAAGGGAGCAGGGAGCACGTGTGAAGAGGAAAGGTGAAGAGTTCAGATGTGAAGAAGAGCTTGGAAGCCTTCATCAAAGACCACCAATGATCCCTAAACTGGGCAGGCACAAGCACAGACAGCACCTGGAGCTAATTACCATACAAAGTGAGGCTAGGCGGGACTAGGGAATGAAAATGTATCAAGCATCTTGTGTAATCCTAGACTGTAGAGAATAAAAGGGGAACAGCCATTGCTTTCAGTGCATGTGCCTTTGGGAATGATCCTGCATGTGCCTGGTGCTGGATGAATACGTATCTACCTTACAGCTTTACTGAGTTGTGGAGTCTTTCTGCATATCATTGGTTTCATCCTTTATTGACAATGGCATTTTGGATTTGGCAGCTGATTTGGAAAAGTGTTTTCAGTTGAAGTTGTTGGTATAGTCATAGAATGATGGTATTGTGAAGAAAAAATAATTTCATTTTAAGGCCACTGAAAGCTGCAGTGAAATCACAGAAGAAATATCTGCTCACTTTGCAACTTAACATGCTAAAGACCCACAAGGAGATTGCTGCAAAAAGGTATGTTTTGACAATCTTGGAAATAAAGTGTTTCTGTTTTACTGTTACCAGGTGCTTTTGTTCCCCAGTAACTTCAACACAATATTTTGTATTGAGTCTAATTATTCCTTGTCACTCCCATGCCTTGCTTCTTCAGATTTCCCCTAAATTTGCTGCTCAGTTTACTCACCTTTGTTTCTTCCTGTATCTTTGTGCTATTCCTTCCAAATGCTGAAGAGTGTCAGTGCAAACCTTCTACATACATATTTCTTACCATCTCTGGCATCTTCCCTACTTACATTTTCTTGGAAAGCTGTACACCACTGTCCCTAATAAAAGTTGTTGTTTGAGACTCCTGTGGCACCTGTAAAAACCAGAAATATGTGACTACACATCTATACATCTTCAATTCAGTGTTTTGGGTGGCTTTGTGCAAAATCAAAAACCAAAAACTACTGAAGGTTCACAGAGAGATTTTAGCAAATGGTGTTCAGGTATTTCCTGGTAGCAAGCAGATATTTCCTTTTGCAAATTAACACTAAATATAGATGAGGTGTGAAATTCACTGGACCTGAGTACTCTGCAGTTGTCCATTGCATTCATAATTTCTGTTTTCACTGACCCTTACTAGGGAGTTATCGAGCCCAGTGCCATAATTTGCAGCAAATAGCCCTTATTAAATGAGGAATTGCTTGTGAGAATGATGAATTCATAGAGTGATACCTTCCACTAGATCAGATCTAATAAAAGGTCAGCTGGTACAATTTCTTATGTAAATGAGTTTTCCAGTTTGTTTCTCTTTCTACTTGGGCTGTTGCCTAGGCTGTCATCAGACTTCAAAGAAATTCATTATTCTTCCAGCTCTTGACTTTAAACGGAATGCTTGCCGAACCTAATTGATGTGCAGAATGTCTCTTTGCAGGGCAAAGAGAATTGTGCAAGAGTAATTCAGTCTATTGAGCTGCTCACAGCCATTGTGTTTGACTGTGCCCTACTGACACTGTATTTTTTTTTCTGAGAAATATTGGAAATCATTTTCACTGATGGAACTGATGGGAAATAATGAGTCAATCACATGAGAGTGAGCTCACTGAATCCACTCTATGCAAAACTATTGTGAAAAGTTTTAAAAGTCTCCATCCACAAAACATCAGTGTTTCTTTTTTTTTCCTCCTCAAGGTTATTTTGAAAATAAGTATTTGAGACTGGAATACGCTCTTGACTATTTTGAGAGTCAGTGAAGAAAGAAACAAAAATATCTACAGTAAGAGACAAGCGAGCAAGAGGAATGAGTAAGGAAAGATGAAGGCAGATGCATCCAGTTGTGTGGATTCCAGGTAAGCTGGTGTAGAGTTTTTACACCTGCTCCTGTAAAATGGCAACTTTGGGTCTTAGAGATCCTGATGGGTCTTTTGGAGACAATGGGGAAACAGAATTGTTGCCAGCTTCTTTCTCTTTCACCCTGGCAATCCGCAGGAGCAAACACTGCACACACTCCAGCAAGAACTCCTGCAACATAATAAAAATGCAAGTGCTTAAGTCAGTCCAGTGACTACTCTGACCATCTTATGGAGGTTTTAATTTTGGCTAATGCTGCCAAAGTGTGCCCTGGTAGAATTTGGTCCCATCAGTGCCATATTGAGCTCTACTAGTTACAGTGCCAATGCTCCAAGGCCTTGTCGTTGTTTCCATTCTAAATCCTGCTTCTGAATGAATGAATGCCTCTCATTTATTTTGGTTAAAATTTGCCTGTCTGGTCTTGGTCCATGAACAACTCACACTCTGCAGCTCTTCAGCAGTTTGCTTCATTCAGAGCATAAATCTGAGCAAACTTATTTTTTTTTCCCCCTTGAATTACTATGGCATAAGTTGCTCAAACATGTACCAGCTATCGATTTTGAATGTTAGCTAATTATACCTTGGTCCTTATTATGCAACTTATTCAGAAAGCTGATTGGCTACATTCCTGTCTTGGTTTGACAGCACTGAATGTCAACTATGGTTTTAGAGTGAGATTCCTTGATAACAGAATGGTTTTTATTTTGGTGAAGATACTATTCCTTAAAGATGCTGACTAGGGAGGAAATTTTTAGACATGAGAGAAATACTGTGGTTCATTTCCACCCCCCATATATTCCAGAACAATCTTTGTGCTCGTGACTGCTGTAATACATTCATAAGCAAGGTGCTGTGATATCTTTATTTATTCTGATTACTGTTCCTCCTCTCCTTGAAGCCTTAAAAAAAACCCCAATCCTTCAAAACTGACTAGAATCAAACCACAGAATACGGGAAAAACCTGAAAAGTTTACTTCCTTTCTACCAATTTCTTGGCAAATGAGCCCCTGTACTTGAGCCTTGATGATTCAAAGGCTGTGAGAACAGCAAGTGGCACCATGTGAATCTGCTCTTGTGTCATTTCCTTCAGTGAAAATGGAGCACAGTGGTGCTGCAGCCCCTGAGTGCCCTTGGAATGGACAGGAGCTGCACAAGCAGGAGATGCTGCTGGCTGGAGAACGCTCACCAGCTCCTGAAAACTGCTCTGCTGAGCTCAGGCACTTTCTTCCTGCTGTGAGGGGCTCTAAGACAGGGATGTTTATTGCCAGCTTTAATAGAATTGAGAGACAAAGGATACAGAGACTGTGCAGGGGAGATGGCATTGTGGAGGATGTGCAGAGTGTGCCTTGTTTGTGGGGTATCTGGATTTAGAAATCAGTGTTCAGTGAAGGGAGTAACCAGGCTGAGCCACAAGAAATACCATACTCTCCAGCCAGAAATAAATAAACAAAACACAAAAACACCCAGGTAATTTAAGTCACCCTTCTGATTTCAGGCCTGCTGAAATTTATTCCTTTACAATAGCAGGCTGCATAAGAATTCATGAGATTAACCTGCTGCTAAGCCATCTTTCACAGCTCTTGTTAAAGGCTGACACCAGTCTCAAGGGGCAGATATGAAGCACAGGATCTGCTGCAACCTGTGAATCTGTGAGCCTACAATGGGGTTGCATGATCATGTAATTTTCTGTGCTGGAGCCCCTTTCTCTCCCTCACTTAACAAAGACAAAAAGCTTACAAAGCCTGTCTTGATGCACAGTCTGATTTTTTCTCTTTACAGTCCTCTGAAATTGGGTATGAAACACTTTCTGGCCTTTCAAAAGTAAACATGAGTAAATCCTGCCTCAAAACAACTGTGATTATCCTGGTTAGATGCTGAAATCAGGTTTCCCAGTGAGCAGTAGTCACTGAATAAACTCTTGGGCACCTATTGCCTAAGAACTTAGCATTTTATTGAAAGACTAATTTCCTAGAGATCACTAAATAAAGCAATACTTACAATGTTTTCCATTTAAGAAGATGTAAGAGGGAAGATAGGTTCTGTTATCAAAAAAGTTTCCAGCACAGATTCAAACCCCACACTGACATTCAAACAAAGTCCATGGGTCTCCCCAGTGTCTTAGGTACTTAAATTCTGAAAGAGATCAATTAAAGACAATTTTGGAATTTCCCTACTGGAACCAAAATCTTCTCATATCTCAAAGCTCAACCACCTTGAAATTACCTTGAAGTTACCTTGAATTATATATATATATATATATATATTACATATTACCTTGAAGTTCCCTTGATTATATATATATATTTCCATCAAAGCTTTTTCTGTCTGCTGAGAAGCTGTAAAAAACAATGCATCAAGAAAGTGTATGATGGGTAGAGACTAATTCACACAGCAGCTGAGTTGGAAAGACATGTTCTGTCTTTTAATCTGTCCACTTTTGGCATTGTGAGAGTCTCTCCTCCACAATAATCTCTTAAGTACTTTATTTAATGCTGACTCTGAGAGTTTACTGGTACAAACAGTGCAAATATCTTGGCTAAAGCGATAGTGGGCAAGTCCTGTTACACATGTGGGTTCTTTACAGTGCATTGAACAGTGGGAGAGTACTTGCCTCAAAAATGCTTAGCTACACAAGAAATATTGAACCAGTACGAAAAGTTTCTATCCTCAAATTGGCAAAAAAAATTAAAATAAAAAAATTCCTGCACTGAACCTGAATAGCATGCAGGAGTTTTGCTGAATAAAATACTCTCCATGTCCTGAAGCAGTGCCTAAATGCAATTGGAATTTGTATCCTGACTTCTGGCTGGGAAGAAAGATTTGAAACATGATTCCCTATCAGAAATTTCTTATGAGGACTTCATTTATGGTCAAGAGGAGTGAGAATCTTTTTTCTTCTCTAACAGGGGGTATTTTGTTGTGCTATTTTAAGTGAATGCCACTGTGAAAGGAATGCAATCATTAGAGAGGTTATAAGGAGTCAGACCTTTGGTCAAAACAAAACAACCCCAAAATTACAGCATATTGGATTTGGTCAGAAACAGTGAGCCATTTTGACAGCACCTAGTAGTTCATGGTGAATTCCTCTTTGTGATAAAACAAATTATCTACTTGTATCAGAGTGAAGGTTTCCTGAGAGACTTGGCCTATCACAGATTGTAAAGTACCTTACTAAAATGTCTAAATTTATATATATATGCTAAAACACAGGGATTTTATTTGACCAGTAAGGATTTTTAAAATAGTAAAAATAAATTATGTTCCTGAGGGTCCAGCTCATTTCTCCCTCTTGAGGATATTATTTCAGTGTAATCTATAGTATATATTCTTAGTATACAGTATAAAATCTTAGTTTTTTGCATCAAATACAGTTTTAATAAGTCATCAGAAATTCTGTTCTGACTGGATTAATGGGGGACAACCCATTGAATAAGAATTTAAGTATTTTCTTATAGTCAGTGTTCAGTGTAGCAAGTTTCACTGCCTGATTCTGTAGTAGAAGAAAGAGAGGTAATTTTGACTTTCACAAATTAGGTCCAGTTCCAGACATTGCACAACTCACATTTGAGCTTTATATAGCTGCTAGTCCCCTGTATTTCAGCTGAGACCTTTGCTGTATCGACTTGGAAACTGGGATTTTTGCCCCACCTGTAGCTGGCTGTATCTTACAGCTTTGTATCTTGGATCATGGCATTAAAATTGTCCAAACTCAATTAATTGTGATAGTGGTGAAATGAAACAAAGCAAGGAGATCAGATAGCTGGGAGAGCACAGCAATTTTGGAGCACTTCATCCTTTTCATAGCACTGCATGGTTTCCTTTCTCTCCTTCAGAGCTGACACTCAGATGTCTGTTCTGCTTTGGTTTTGTAATACATCTTCTGTGGCAAGGTGTGCCAAAGAACTCCTCCTGATGTAGAGATCAAAGCCAGGACCTGTCAAACGTGTAAATGAGAACACCTCAGAACCAGTTCAGTACATAAAATAAAAAATCTCTCAGCCAACAATAGTTTTCATGTAGAATTCAATGCAAGGGGGTTGATGTGTCTGCAGCACAAATTAACTCATTTTATCAGCTGGGCTGAGTTGGAACATAAAAAGAAATGCATTGTGCTGCTGCAGTGAGTGCTGCTAGTAAATCCAAACTACTCAGTCTAGTGCATAATGAAGAGCTGTAATGCTCTGAATAAATCCATTACTCAAATGTACACTGTAATGAAGGTATAAATCATTAGTGTTTGCCTGACTTTTTTTATATGGCTGAGATTAACAGCAATGTAAGCAACATTGCAAACACTAAAAAAATCCCAAATATTTCTGAATGAGGATTGAGAAAATATTATCTATAAAATACACCCTGGATAATCTGTGTGGATAAAATGTTATCTGCAAATGGAAAATATAGCTTCTTTCATTTTTTTTTTCCTTTTTTTTTTTTGTACATAACAGAGAAATAGAAAACCTCCTAAAATCTCTTCCTAAAAGATTGTATGGCACTAGTTGGAATTTAGACTATCAAAGGTGCTTCTCATGGTACATAAGGAAGTGTGATATCCCATTAAAACAGGAGAGAATATTAGAATATTATTAATCTCTATTAAAAAGAGTAATGAAATGGAGTATGATATCCTGCCATCTGTGGCTTAGAACTCTTTCTTCTTTCATTTGAATTAGAAACAGGAAAAGCCATAATCAGAGCAGGGCATGGAAGCAATGGAGAGGGAAGTAATTAGAAGTGTTTTCTTTCATTTTTCAAATCTGAAGGACCTGAGGGATTCAGCTCTTGGTTTAAACAAGAGCAGCCATCTGACATTCTGCAGCTCTCCAGAAAATGCAAGTCAAAAAAAAGTCTGGGCTGTGGGAATAAAAACCACGGGTGGTTGTTTTCCCTTTTGTCTCATTTTGATTTTTAACACGTAGGAATTCACTAATGCAGGGAGGTTTCTTCCCTGCTCCGTAGTAGATGAGTTATATGGGCATATCAAATGATCCTGAATCTGTGAGTCTGTATGTTCGGAAGGAATATATACACATTTTGGTCATGGTTCTGGCCATCTTCTATGGTGTTAGAACAGATACTTAAGTGATTCTGGACCTCAGCTGGCAGCCAGTACAAAATGCTGATGTAGAAACTGTTCCCCCACAAAAAGTCATAACGTCACACCTGAGCATATCCACATTATGCATTTAGAAGTACACAGACCAAATATCCCAAAGGGAAATGGCATATGTTACTGCAGTCCTGTGGCAATGTCAGAGGTGTAAGATTTACTTTGGTTGTCAAATTTTGTTTGTTTGGTATTTATTCAGCTACTCTGGAATAAGCATATAATTTCTCTGCAAAGCCCCAATATCCCATTTCTTATATCAAAATACACCTCAGTGTGTAACGCTCTAAATAAAGATGTAACGCCACAGGCCAACTCAACCTATGAAAAGTGCAGCAAAAAACCCAAAAAGCCTTGGGGTTCCTGATCACAATTGTATGAGATGAGATGGTTCAGTGGGTTTTTCAAGCTCAGTTAGAAGCACCTTTCTACCAAGACTCCAGAACTGCTGCTGGCAAGGGATGCAAGCACCTCATGAAAAAAAGAAAAATCACAGGTAGTGTTCCCCTTCCATAATAATCTGAGCATCATGTTAGTGCTCGAGAACTATGAACATTTATTTGACTTTATTAGTGCAGCAGAACACCAAAATTAAGATTTTTGGATAAATTATTTTTTTTAATCTAATGACAAGTAATCCCAGACTAAAACGTATTTGAGAAGACATTTATTTCATGAGCATTCAAACAGAGAATGTGTTTCACTGAAATGTTGAAGCAGAATGTAGGAGCTGATTAGACATGCCTGCCACGTTGCCTAGGCATGATCTTGAAGGACTTGGGGAGTTTGGAGAATTGTAATGCTGCTGACATTACACCTGGCAATGTGATAAGTCAGAAACCAAAACTATATACGCCACTTGTTTTCAAGTTTGCTGTCTCACCTTTTACCTAAAGTATGATTAGGAAAACCAAGAGCAACCCCCTCCTTTCCAAAAAACCAATCAACTGCCTCTACAGCTATATAACATGTAAAGATATTTATCTTGAGCAGAGTTTTCCTCTGATGAGTAACCAGCATAATTATTTGTCTTTCATTTAGGTGTTTTTTAATTCCACTCAAATATGAGCTTCTGATACAAATTGTTTAGATCAAGAAGAAAACTTGTATTTCTAATGGATTACTTGTGGAGCAGAGCAGGCAATAAAATGAATAATGGAAGGGAATTTTTAAAAATTGCAAACTGACCTTTGAAATGTCAGAATTTGGATGTTTCTTGTAATCAGCATTCTGTGATAAATGAGAGCAGTAAATGTAAAGATCCTTGGTTCAAAGTGTGTGTAATCGAAATCCAATGAGAGATCGATGGCCTTTTGGTGACCTTTTCTGAAAAGGTCAAATGACAACATTTATGGGAAACTTTTCATGTGCTTGGAGGATGATTATAAATTGGTTTATTTCATTTCAGAGTTCTAGTTATAGAGGGAAACTCTGCCTGTTTGTCTGAGGGCTATATATCTGTATGAGGATGTATGTCATTGTTGGTCACCTTGTAGGTGTGTCAGTTTTATACATAAAAATATGCATACACATACCCTAACATATTTGTATTATGTGAATTTTTAAGCTAATACTATTGTAAAATAACATAAATTAGAGAAATGCTACTATATAGATATAAAATGTTACCTAGTTTTTTTATGGAATCTTAAAAATAACTGGCAACAGGAGGATCTAAGATGACTTCAGTGGAAAACTGCTTCCATTCTGCCAACAGTGACAACAGATTGGAAGTGAAATAGCAAAAGCTTTTATCACAGAATCACAATCCACCAGACACTGTAGTAAGTGATGAAGAGAGTAAGTCTCTCTCTCAGAGACATCTTTTAGGAATAAGTCCACTGATGTATTTTTTTCTGAGTAGCTGTTGGAGAATTTTTTTGTGCTGATCTTACACACCAAAATGTCTAAAATGATCCAAAGTTAAATTAGAGACCATCATCATCAGCTTTTTGATGTCTGGATTGAAGTTTTGTATTTCAAATTATGAAAAAAATGCAATTTATTTGTTTGAATGATTGATATAAGTTTTTTGCTGAAATTATATATATATTCAGCTTTCTGTGCACTACTTGATTTTCTTTTTATCTCTGTAAAAGTTTAGTCTTCAAGTAGAAATATTTTCCACCTTTCTGTGGAAAAGAATTGGTTATGAGCTCTTAGATTTCATTTCAAAAGCTTCAAATGCTTGTAGCTTAAGCATAATTGCTTAAATAAAAGTCAGTTATGACATCAGTCCTATCATTAGTTACTGGGAAATCATGTAGACACCAGATCATCCCCACAGAAATACTCTCTTCTCTCTGAGGAATGAGAGTTTGTGCTTTTGGGCAGCTGGTAGTTGAAGCACAGGACATAAATCCGCAGGAACACGATTTTAGGAGTTTTACTGGCCATGGAACTCTTTGCTTCCTTGATGGAAATTGAAATGGAGGGCTGAGAGTCCAGCTCAGTTCTTATCTCCTTTTGCATCATTCATCATTAATGAACCAACATGGATAATGATATAATTATTCTGATCATAGTAAACAGGTTTGATGGCTCTGGTGACAAGTAACCTGCACAAATGCTCCTTGCTCTACTGGTTCTGCCTCTGTTGAAAGAGTAAAAATGGGGGAAGAGGGAAGAGATTTAGCAGTGTGAAGTATCAGCTATACATGGACACAGAAATAAATCTGTGGAAAGGTAAGCAGTTTTTACTGTGACCCCATTCAGAGATGAACTGGAGTTTGAATTAACTGAAAAAGGCTCTTTCCATATGAGAAAATAGAGCTATGTCTTAGATACTGTATTTCATTGATATGCAAGTATATAATGCCAAATCACAGGGTCTCTGATCTATAACTGGCCTGTTCTATTAATATTTCTTTACTGTACCTAGCACTAGCTATTTCTGGAGCTATCCTAAATTTAAATATGCCAGCTATTGTTTCATACCATTATTCTGCAACCCAAAGCTGGAGCTGCAAGCTGTGATGTGCTGTGTTTTTATTTGCATTACCAGATAATTTGATACTGCAGGAAGAGGGGAGCTGGAGTCTCATTTTTCTGACATGGCTGAGTGATGCATTTTCTATTAAATACAGTCAGGTGAAACAGGCCAGGAATATCCTATCTCACAATTATTATAACTTGTGATTAAAAGATGGGTTATGTTGAGACAGCTTTGTCACAACCTTCCTTTGGAAGAAAAACTAAATAGTTTTAAATTCAGGCAGTACACACAGAACGTCAAGCTGTTGTCTTTCAAAGTGGTGGAAGGAATTGCTTCCTTTCTTAAAGGTTTTGAGCTTCACAATGAAATGAGCTCTCAGTAAATGATTCCTCTAGTAATAGTGTGGATGAGGAAAATAAATGAAAAGAGCAGAAGTCAGTGAATAGTTAGGAATGCAACCGTTTATTCAATTATTTTTGTACTTTGGGTAAATTTTCAGCCCTGAGTACAAAATGCCTTCATTGTACTAAGGAGATTTGCATTTTAATTCACTACACATAGCAAACATCTATAAACCCATGTGTTTTGCCAAAAATAACAAATGTCAGACCCTTGTGAGCTGCAGTCTATTGTTTAAACAAAAAGGGATGAATATATTAAGACCTTAAATCTATCACAAAATTAGGTGCTTTGTCATAAACACAGCAGTTAAGGTTAGCAATTTTATATAAGATGGCATGTTGTTTGGGCATTAAATCCTTGAACTGACATGTCAGGTAAGGAGTAGATATTCTGAAGAATAAATACTTTCTTCATATGAGCAAGTGTATTGCCCTCACTTTTGTGTTTGTCTTTACAAATCTTAGTTTATTTCTAAATGTCAAAGTGTGAATTGAGCACGTGGAGATGCAGACAGTGAATTTGGCTTTCAAAATTTAGTTTGCAAATACATATTACATTTCTGGATACCAAGGTCAGGTCTTGGCTTTAAAATATTAAATATTTGTATAAAATATTTTACCTGGCATGGTAAAATATTTGTCCTTCCAACATAACAGAAGTTGTTCAGCTGCCAATAGAAAAGATTAGTTCAAAGATATTTTTTGGCTGGTGTGTTGAAATCAGGATGTTTGCCTGAGGAGATGCTCCAGCAGGGATATATTTTGAAGTGAAGTGGAAACAAAGAATTCCAAGACTACTCAAGAAGTGATAATGTCGTGAAACAGATTTCAAAGTCCTCAGGAAGTTGCCTCCATTTGTACATGAGAAAACCTGATCTAACTTACCTAAGTTTTGATGTTTGTTTCTTATTCTCTTCTATTCTCTTCTACTTCAGTGAACTCAAACTGTTCATGATGCCCCATGTGAAACTTTGGTCTGCACTAGCATAAGCATCCAGCTGCTTCATCAGCTGTGTGAGGCTGTCCTGGATTTTATGAACAAATCTATTCTGGTCAATAAGGTTTCTCTTGGGCTATCACAAGCTGCCTAGTGTAGCAGTAATATGCAATTTTCTTTTTAAGTTATTTTTTTTTTTTAAAAGGAAGTGTACATGCCTTGAGTTAAGATTTCTTTCATAGAATTAGAGGGTCCAGACAGTATTAGAAAGTGTATGTTTGGTGAAAATTCACCTAAAGAGACAAACCCCACTGAGCTGGCTGTCACAGCAAGTGTATCTGAAATATCACCAAATGCCACCACCTTGTCCTCCTGACACGTATCTCTGTGTTCAGCCAGAGATGATTATTGTGGGTTATTATGGCTAGGAGTTATGTTTGTTTTGGGAAGATGGTAAAGATCTGTCAGCTAGTATAAATACAAAGTTTATCTGCAGCTTTACCTGGTAAAGGAAAACTTTCTACTATCATTATGTTTTCAGTTGCTGAAAAGATGTATGGCATTTAGAAATGCCTCTTTCCAAAGAGAAAGGTAGCTTTTTTTCTTCAGGTTTTTTTTTTTCTTCCCAGTAGTTCTTTAGGTATTTCCATAAAAATAATTTGTCATTATCACTTTCCTGTCAGAATTCAAAATGCTGATGCTACCAAATTTCAACTTTGTAGAAATAAAAAATTTGTGTTCATTCAGCACAGCCCTTGCTGCTGAAAGTGCAGACACCTATAGGTATGTGATGACTTGCTCTTTGGAGGGATAGTTGGAGAAAAAGCATTCAGGAGATGCACTGAATTCTCTCAGGACCACTTCTGGGTTTTATTCAGGTGAAAAGCAAGAGGAAATTCTCTAAAAACTGGTAAACCCACAAGGTTTGTGCTTGGCTAAGGGCAGGGGAAGACTCAGCACAAGTAGAACCCAGTACAGGAGAACACACCCCTCTCTAACCAGAATTTAGCACAGTCAATATACTTTAGTATACAAGGAACTGTAGCTGTTCTTCTAAGTTCTAATCTCCTTTCCTGGACTACCAAACAGGTAATAAAAGTGACCTTCCTGAGCTTGTGCTTCTTGTTACTGCAGGTGAAAAATGGCAAGGCAAACAAAACAAGTGGTTGGAAATCTCACTGTCATGACTGATACAACTGAGTCATTTGACACTGGTGCTGGAATCTGATTCAGAAAAGACAACTACAGAGAACTGAGGAAATGTGGACAAAGTTAGGAGACACTGCTTCAGGATGGGAAAAGTGGGTTTCTTAACACATTTACCTTGCTGTCCTTGGACAGGCCATAAGCAATGCCTGTGCAGGCACATATTGCTGGGGCAGGTTGCCAGGCAGGTCAGGCTGCCGGGGGCTGCCATCAGAAATCACCAGGATTAAGGCTTGGAGGCTGCTGCAGTCTGATCAGTGACTAGTGGAGGCTGATAAAACGCTGCAAATTACAGTGTGTGAGATTTATAATGGTTTACTTGAAGCACTCCAGGTTGAGAGCTGGCAGCTGAGTGCAGGAGGAGGATGTTTGACTGCTGCTGTGCTTTCAGACCAGGATGGTGATGAACAGCCTGACATAAAATGGGCAGTGCTGGATTCAAACAGGGCTCGTGGCAGACAGAGATACAGGAGCATATTCTATGGGGGTTGAGCAATTTATTGAAGATTCAGAGCTCGAGTTCTGACATTGAGATATCAATCACATGAGATTAGTATTGAGAGGTGTTTGCTTTCTGCCTACAGATAAACATCTCCCCTGAATGAGCTGAGATTTGCATGTAAACCTGCTCTGCACCTTAAATGTGAGTCACAGGCTTTTCTTTTCTGTTCTGTCATGAAAAGTATATTTAAAATATACTTGTATATATTTTAAATAAAGTATATTTTTGCTTACTTTATATATGCTTATGTACATAAAAATACAGTAGTCTTTCTTGTACAAAACTTACTGAGAAATTTTTTCCTCAAGTCTGCTGTTTCTTTAAATATTCCATTCCTGAGATGTACCATTCTAAATCTCAGTTGTTCTTTCTGAGGCTGGGATGTACTCAGATAGTATCATGCTTCAGGCTTGGTAGATGCTGAATCTGAATGTAAAGGAAAACCAGATGTTTAGTCTTTCTATCCACATAAAATTCACATCAGTGAGCTGAAAATGTGGTAGGATGAAATTTAATTTTTCCTTTTGTTCAGGGCTGTTTCTGCTTAGAGTTGAAAGTCGTCTTTTTCCATTCTGTGTTACTACAATTCTTAGTTTTTCTCTTTAAATAGTTGATTCTGTATTTTATATTTTTATTTTCTATTTTATCTGTGTACACAATAGAGTATTTGAAGCACAAGGCATCTTCTTAATGTACTCAGCTGTAGAAAACATAAGCTATTACTAGATTTGCTGTTAAGAACACTGACATCCATACTGAAGCAGAGATAATAAAAATAAATTATTCTAAATTGTAAAAGGTATGGTAGATTTCATTGACATAAAACCTAGTAATTGGCATTGTTATATAATGGCAATTAGAAAGCACTATAAAGAGTAAGGTCTGATCCAAAGGCTTGGCTAGATGAGAAAAACAAATGTCCTGTAAAGGAAAGGTACAATGTACATGGAAAGAAATAACATTTCATTATTTGATCTACAAACCTGGAGAACACACAGCATAAGCAGAGCTTTCTGAAAGCTTCAGTATTTTGAAACTACACCATGGAGGAATCCAGGTGAGTGAGAAAATCTATATAGGGGTCTCAGATAATAGACTGAAAGGAGCGTTTGGCCTCTCCCACCTATTTCAGTAAATTGGATTATGAAAGCCAAAAGCACAGAAAACTGTGTGACTTTATTGATGCAGAGATTTCTGTACCACCTCCTGATCCTTCTCTTGGTGCACTCTTGTCTGGCTGTCCCAGTTGTGTTCTCTCACCTGTTAATGAACAGGTAACTTGGTTCTCCAGCTTCTCTGCCATCTTCTGAGGACTTTGAGCCACACCCTTCTGGGCACTGCCAAAACTTAGGACTCCAAAGTCCTTTTTATGGCTGTATGTATCTCCCTTTGGTTGTTTAATTTGATCTGTTTCTATAATTCACACAGCACCTTTATCTCCTCCTGTGCCCAACAAATGCTGAATGGATACCATTTTTCTGCAGCCTCCAATTCCACCCTCTCTCTCATCTCTTTAAGATCCTAAGGATTTTTTACTTAATTCTCTTTACATGTATCACAATAATTATTTTGACTTCATACCATTAATTACTACTGCACATCTTTATTGAGTGCTGTCATCTGAAAAGGAAATGCAGAAAACCATTGTGGGCCTGCTCACAAATATACTTAGTTAAATGTAACATTTTCATTTGATTTTCAGTGGATTTGGAATTACAGGTGATCACTTTCCTTCAAAGTAACTTTGCCACTAAGAAACTCTAGCTAGGATTCCTGGGAAAGTTATTATGTTATTTTCTGGATCGGTCTTGAAGTTCTTTGTTCCAGTAAATCCCTGAAGGCTGAATAACTAAAGGAGCTGTCTGAAACTAATGGCATTAAATCAATTGCTACAAAAATATATTTAGGCTCAGCATTAATAGTATGGCAGGCTAGATGACATAATGATGGACCACTGGCCTGGGATTTGGGAGGTCTGGACTGTGTTCTTGGCTCAGCCTATAACGTGCTGGGCGACCTCTGGAAAGTCACTTTACTTTTGCCTTATTACAAAGTTTCATGTGGAAAGTGCTTTGAATTCTTCTGATGGTGAGTGTTATGCCAATGTTATGTATTTTGCAACCACATAAGTGAAATCTGTTAAATGCCAAGCAGAATGAAAGTGGTGAGTGCCTGTGGTTAGAGCCTTCCATGGACACTGCTCAAACCTCCTGTCAAATCTGAATTTCTTAAACAATCTTGCAGGAGAAGTGGAAGGAGCAAGAAGGTGCCCAAATTGCCCTTTATACTTATATAAGACTGGTTTAATAATGATATACTTTACAATATGAGATGCAACAAGAAGGATGCATCAAGTGGGATTTTGCAGGACTTATTCTGGTAGTCAGCCTTTTCATTAGGGCACAGAATATGACACTCCAGGAAAGAACAGAGAGATTATCAGTGATGGAGAGTGCTGGGATACTGTTTTAGATAGCAATTTTCCTGATAGATGCCACTGCGAAAGCCAATATACTTCATGCTACTTTTTTTCATATAAATCAGAGTTCAGCTCTCAGTAGGAAGATCAGCTGCACATGAACAGCAGCAGAGAAGCAGGATTTGGAGCTACAGGAGGAGAAGAAATCATCACAGGGAGCTAAGGAACTTTTGACTTGTGAAATTGGGTGGACTTGGTGTCTCTTCTGGGAGCTATGAATGAGGAGAATCAAATAGATCCATCAAAAATTATCTTTGAGAAAGTAAGAAGGATTTATGAAGTCCTGGATCCTGGAAAAGAGTAAATGCAGTCCTTATCTTTAAAAAGAGAGAAGAGGAAGATCAGAGGAATTACAGATCAGTCAGCCTTCTCAGAAAAAAATACTGAAGAAACAAATAATTTGTAAGGAAAAAACCCAAACAGCACAGAGCAAAATGAACCCAAGGAAGTGTGAAACAACAAAGATCTGTCAAAAGCAAATTATCCAAGTTCCAAGCCTGCTTTTTTTTTATATATATATGAAAAAATAGAGCTGCTATAGTAGAACTGGCCAGTGTGGTACACTTTGAGCTTTGCAAGCATAACGTGGCGGCTTCCAAAGCAGACTGGGAAAAGTGTGTCTGTAATTAAAGTGCCCTGAGGTTGATACAGGGCTGTCTGCAAAGCCTCCTTCTCAGAGAGGTTATTAATGACTCACTGCCAAACTCTCACACAGGATCCTTTGTGTTCTGGGTACAGCAGTAGCTTCTTCATCAATAACCTGTATGATGAAGCAAAGGTTATTCTTAGTAAATAAGCAGACCATATCATCCTAGGCTGATTCAGGCATGTTGGGAAAATATGAAATTTTTTCCAATAACTTTTATAATTTAGAGAAACATAGAGCAGAGTTGAATTAAGGACAAATATGACACTTGACAGTGCTGACCAACAGTGTGATTGTACAAGGCTAGCCAGCTGTGCCAGTTTGGAATACACAGGGTCATGGATCTGCAGGGAAAGGTCTGGGGTGTTGTTGGGTATCACTAGTGGGAGGAACCACTGCCCAGCTGTTGTGTGAAATACCAGCACTCAGGTGTTGGTCTCTTCTCCCTGTGACCAGTGACAGGACCCAAGGGAATGGCTGGAGCTGTGTCAGGGCAGATTTAGGGTGGATATTAGGGAAAGGTTCTTCCCCCAGAGGGTGGTGGGGGATTTAGGGTGGATATTAGGGAAAGGTTCTTCCCCCAGAGGGTGGTGGGGCACTGAAGAGGCTCCCCAGGGAATGGTCATGGCTCCAGGGCTAACAGAGCCCAAGGAGAATTTGGACAGTGCTCTCAGGCACAGGGTGGGATGGATGAGGTGTCTGTGCAGGGCCAGGAGTTGGGCTGGATGATTCCTGTGGACCTGTTCCATCCCGGAATATTCTATAAAAGAAGAAAAAAGCACTGCAGGGTAAGTGAAGGTGCTCTGGTGAAATCTGATGTCCATTTCCACCACTAGGCTTCATTGAAGATAACACTGGAGATTTGCAGTGTAATTGCAAGTGTAAGGCAATGTGAATGCCTACCAGTGAAGATTTAATGAACTGCTGTTATTTCATCTAAAGAAGAAAAAAGACACAGGTGCTACAGGATAATTGCCATTAAACTGAGAAGAGACTGCTGCAAAGGTAGGGAGCAATTTTTCTCTGTGTCCAAGTGAATGAGACATGGAGTAATAAGATAAACCTGAAGCAACTGATTTAGATTAGACATTAGAAAAAAGTTTCCAACAGCATGGGTAGTTCAGGGTGAGAACAGAGTCTGTGCTCTCCACAGAGAATTTCTGTAATAGGAAATTTTTGAGAACAGGTTAACCCAATGTCTGAGTGACCTCTGTATAGCTGGCTCAGCCCCTGCACAGCCATACTATCCACAATCTACTTCTCCTTGTCAAGGGCAGAGCAGAAGGTGGAATAGCCACCTGGGACATGGCATTTTGGGCTTTTGTTTCAGTAATTGTAAATTTCTTTCCCGTCTGGTACAGGTTCTGCCTTCTGCTTCTCTTGCTCTCAGTGTAATTTATATACAGCTAGTCTATGATAGTTTCATTAGAAGGGGAATGTAAATAAAAGGGGTGAGAAAAATATATTAACATTTGTAAAGTACCTTATGAGACCAAGTGAAAGGCAGTATATAAGCACAAGCATTATTATGGAAAATCAATGAATAAGGTAATAAACCAAATTGAATAAAAAACGAAAAAAAACCCAACCCAAAAGTGTTATACTCTGTAAATAAACCCCATAAAATATATTAACCTTAAATAATAACAGCCCATTTTCAGGAGTTGCTGGTGAGTTTTTTTTTGAGTTTTTTTGGGGGGGTGGGTTTGTTGCTTTTTTTAAAACTAATTAAGTCTTTTTCATTTACCAAAGTTCAAACAATTAATCACAGGTCTATGTAATCAAAAGCGGAGTTTATTTCTTATTACCTATTCACACTGCAATCCCAGAATTTGATGGGATTACATATTATGTATAATGATTACATACTATATATAAACACACACCTACTATGTAATCACTTAAAGTGCTGTGAACAGCCTATAGGTGGTTCAAAACGAACACTGTGTGTGCAGCACAAAGCATGAACAGCATTCCAGGCTATGTCACATCATGGGATAATCTGTTCCTGAAATGAATTTGACTTGTTCATTAGTGAGATGAAGAAAGCTGATTACAATGAACTTTTTTCTTTTACATCAAATAAGGGATAATTTTACCCTGAAGATTTAGGTTTTTTCCCTTGAAGAAAAATACATGTTTTAAGAAGATTGTGTTTTCTAAGGCAGCTGCAGCAGGTCAATCATGCTTGAATCCTAGCACTATTTTTGTCTTGTTGGGTTTACTTAATCAGATCATTTTAAAATGACCTATTCAAGTTCATAGCAAATAAACAGGGATTTCTTATTTGTGCAAGTTTCTTTTGGTACACTCTTTGGATATTTAAAAAGCAATAAAGATGCATAAGAGTTTAAGTAAGTAATTTTTTTTTTTAGTTGGAGTATTAATGAGTAATTCAGGCAGCAGGGTTTGGAGGGTAATGTAGAGGATCACAGCTTATTATGAGGAAATGCCTTAATCAGAAAGAACACAGCCCAACAGCCAATATTCCATTAATGTTTTCAGGTTATGTAAAAATACATAACATTGCAACTAAAACCGTGAACAACCTGTTCTTTTATTTTCACAGCCAGGTCATTCAAATTTCCATGTTGTCTGAAGCTAATCCCAGCTGTGACTGGAAACAGCTCCAGATGCAGCAGCAGCTTAAGAAGGACCTTGAGATAGTTTACAAAATGAATTAATGAGAGTGAATAGTGTAATCTACATTTGCAAGTCCTTTCATCCAAGGCTCTTGGAGCAATTAATAAACACTGCTGCACTGCTGCAACAGAAGAAACAGTTGCTGCAAGAAATTCTCAGTGGTAAAGCCTCCTGACTTACACATGGTGTAGTGGCTGGGCATCTAGTGACCAAGTCACCTTAGAAAAGGAGACTTCAACACCTGAATTTGGACAAATTTGAGAGTATATAGATGCTTTCAGTGCTTCCCAATTTTCTTTATTGAAGAAGATACAAGGACAGAGAGCTCAGTTCTGTTCTCTCACCCAGCTGGGAGCTGTTGGTACCAGCAAAGTTCAAATCCATGATGTGCTGAACGTAGTCATAAAATAATCAGTAGGAAGTGGAGAAAATGGAAATAATGTGTACCTGCGGCATCTGACAGGATTTATATGGTCAGAATTAGGCCCAGAAATAGGACATAAAGAAAGTAATGTAATTATGACAGAGAATCAAGGCTATACCATGCTTTTACCACAAAACTACCTTCCTGTAGACACAGATTATTAAAATATAGGGTAGGACTTTGAGGAAAACAACAAACCAATTGGCTTTTAAGGATAAGTGAAGTAACCAAACATAACATGTGGGCTATCTAGGCTTTTTTGTGCAGAGAAACAACATTCCTTGGACACATGACCATGTGAAAAACCAAACAGATTGAAGCAAAAGTAACAATTATTCTATTGCAACAGTGTTGTAAAAAGGAAGTGGAAAAAAAAGGAGAAAAAGCCTGAGTTCTTTACTTTGGCTTCTAACCTTAATTCGAAAAAAACACCAAACATCAGAGAAATTGCAGTATTTTGGTGCAGAGAGGCTTGGACAAACCATTTTACTTCATTTTGTTTTCTAACTTTTCAGATACTTCTGGAGGGCTTGAAGAACTGTTTGAACTGTCATGAGGCTGGTACAACTGAGGTCAGTTGTATGTGTTTATATCAAGAGAAGTTTAAAGATTTTCTTCTAAATGAAAATTCATCCCTAAGATCACTGGGGGCAGTGCCCCCAGTGGATGCCAGGGAAGGGAGCCTGGAAAAGTGGAGTAGTCTGCTGATACTTGGTGAAGGGAAAATGTTGCATATAGGTAAAGCCTTATAAAATAAGTGCCTTTTTACACATGTAAAACCATGGTTCAGGCCTGCTACTTTGGCTAAGCAGAAAAGGGCTATGGGAAAGAGACTCTGCTGAATTAGAGGTAGAAAAACAAGCTATATAAACATTGTGTGTTCACATCGTGGTGTATGGTGATTGGCTGGATTATGCTTGTTGTGATTTAAAACTGTGTAACTGGGAAAGGCCTAAATGCTTAAAGAAGCCTGTTTTTTGCAATAAAAAACTTAGGCTTTCTGCACCTGCCTGAGGACTCTGTCACTATGGACCCTCACCCACAGGAAAAAGGAGTGAGGGAAAGGATGGACAGGCAAATTGGAGCAAGGCTGTTGCACATAGGTGTGGGAGCACTGATCAAACACAAGCTGGTTACAGAGCTGTCAGGACAAGGTTCAAGAGCCATCAGCAATCCAGGAGGGGCTGGTGGAGCAGAGCAGGCAAGGCAGAGGCAGCAGATGCTTCATAACAAAATCTCTGCAGCAATTTAGGTTGTTTTACTGGTGAGCTCTCCAAATGTAAGCCTGGGTCTCCCTGGCATTTGGATCTCAGCAGTTAGGACTCCATTTATCTTTTAGAGTACAGAGATGTACTTGACACATAACACAGAGGATGGGAAGTTTTATGATCTTACTTCTAAGTGGTCATTTCATACCAAGTCGTAAAGCAACAACTAAAAACTCTCCCTCTGAGAGTGAAAGAAACCCTCTGAGGGTGGGTTTCTTCAAGAAACATATCACTTCAGGGAAGAAAAGGGGAATTGTGTCCTGGATGAAGCAGAATGACAATTCAAGAGGCTGTTTCCTGAGACTCTACAGAACTTGGACTGGGTCACCACTTTTTGGGCAAAATTTCTACTAAGTGTCAGAGCGTCTCAAGGAATGCAGTAAATGGTGGGAGCAATTGAGTTCTCAGCTGAATGAAACAGGCAGAGGGGTCTGCAGTCTGAGTAATCTTCCTGGTGCCTGGGTTAGTTAAAGTGAAATATAGTAAGACTTCTTGGCAGTGTTTGGTGTTGGGCACTGATGCGGAGTACAACTTATAAGAACAGATGGTTTCATCGTTTCAAATAGTTCACTTGGATGCAATTTGGCTGGTCCAGCAGATCTTGGCTCAGGACATCATGTTCGTACCAGTTCTTGTTCCTTGGCATTCAGCTGTAGTTTGTGCCCTCTATCCAGTAAAGGATAGCAGGAGATTGTCAAGATTAAATGGTAATGAATCAGCATCACCGTTTGGAAGCTTAAAAGTTGCTGACTTCTGCCTGAAATGGGATAGTCTCTTCCAGGGAGTAACTGGTTGTCAGATGTCTTCACATCTAGGCAGACAAGATTTGGGCTGTCATCTCTCCTGTAGGTTAGAGCAGAGATGACCCAGGCACTGCTCAGGAAGAAATGTGGGGCGAGGGCTTTGGGACTTCAGCCTGTCCTGATTTGTCTGGTTATGACAGAGTCTAATTGTGACAGAGGGGTTGGTGCATTTCTTTGTGATCCTTTATGGTAGTCTATGAGTGAGCATAAAATCATCTCGATCTGGCTCTGTTTTTATTGTCAGGTGAAAGAATCACAATTAAAAGCCTTAGCTAAGACCTGTTCTGGACTTGATTTATGTAAAGAACACGACCAAAATTGATTTAATACAACAGGATTAATTTATTTGCCTCATTTTAGAACCTAATCCAAGACCCTCAATTATCTTTCAATCAGTGTCAGTGAAAAATGGGGAAATACACTGTGATTTCTTGAACTAAGATGTTATTTGCATGTTCATTTAGACTCAAGTTCAGAAAAAAACAGGAAGCTGTGCTCAATATCTCTAAGTCAACTGCACCATCATCTCTCTAAGGAAAGACAGTTTTACAGTTAAATCAGAAAAGCTGAAGTACCAACATTCCCCATCAGTACATTTTGTCTAGTGCTGGCTTTAATTCCCACTGGTGTAAAAGAAAGTGTTCTTATTTGATAATATTTGAATCAGATTCACAGTGAATCATTGTACTACAGCACAGTCTTTTCATTTTTTTAAGCTCTTATAATTCCCAGTGACTTTGTAATGCTGACACAGGCCCATCTACCCCGAATTCCACTCAGATACACAAATGTGCTATCAGGACTCTGTGTTTGGAGCACATGGATGTGGTGCTCTTGCTGCTCTCCTGCAGCACCACATCCTGGTGGTGTTTTCCCAGCAGAGGCAGTGCAGAGAGCAGATTAGCCAGGCTTTCCCTTGCTGCAAGGCAGAACTCGACAGTAAAGTACCATCCACGAGCTGCAGGCAATAAATAGCTTTTACCTGGGAGCTCATTCTTGAGGTGTTTCCCTACCAGTGCAACTGGAGAGCTATCACTCTGGCTGGTGACATGAAAGATGATCATATACTGTATTTCTTGGCTTTTTTTCCTGCTGAGACCCATCCAGAGGCAATACCTACCCTCTATTCTTTCCCTTCTATGCTCTTGCCAGTAGATGGTGGTAGCAGTTGCTCTATTGATGGCAGTGCCATATGGTGCTGAAAAAAGCAGTGCTTTATGATAGCTGCAAGAATGACTTCTCTTTGGGAATCTATATTCTGTCAAAGAATGCATGTGAGGCCCTGATGAAGTGCTACCACTTCCATTTAAACAGAGGCCTCTGCAGCAGCAGCTCCACGAAGGGGCTCACCTCGTCAACAGTGATCGCAGCTGAGCACGAGATCAGCAGAGAGGCTGCTGAAACCAAAGATACTAGATGTTAAATACAGTGAGGCTCAGCCACAGAAGGTTGACGTTAGGTGTTCCAAAAACAAGGCTTCAGGGTGCAGGGAAGAAGTGCAAACTCTTATGAGGAGTGACTGCTGCAGGAGCTGGGATTCGTCGCTGGGCAGCTCCCAAGCTGTTCTTTGGCTGTGGAGGGAAATGTACCTAAATCAAAGTTACAAGGCAGGAGCCTGCTGATTGTCAAGCTGCCTATTAATAGATGGTACATTTGGGAAGCCTAAAATCTCTCCCATAAATTAATAGGCTTGAAAACAGCTGAGACAGGGCCATTCTGTTATGTGCTAGGGAAGCGCTCAGCCAAGTTTTAATGTTGAATTCTCCTCAGTTTTAAGGTTCAAAACCAAGCAAAGGATCCCAAGCCAACAGCCAGGCTTTCACCAAAATCATGGAGCCACATTACTTCACTGGTGGTTATGTGGGTGGAAGAGGGCAGTAAAACACAGAGCCTGCCTGGGGCACCAACAGGCCTGGTGATGAGGGATGGGCGCCCAACAAAGACATGGGGCACAGAGGGGATGTGACCAACTAAGATGGACTTTTCTTCTAATAATACAGAGCCTTATTTAAAAAAAAATATGTATTTTGCCCTTTTGTGTGTTCCCCAGCCTGGTATGATATTATTCTGATGTGCAACAAAGCAGTGTCTGGGCATATACATTCCATAAACATAGTAAAGGAATTGGGCCCTTGGAGACCTTCAGAGCTTAGCAGAAATGGGAGGAAAAAAAATGATATGGTCACTTGAGAGGTAAAATTTCAAAACTTTGAGTGTTAGGTAGGAAGCAAGTTTTCCTAGACTTCTTTTTCAGCATCTAAATCTAAATTATCCATTCTCCTTTTCCTCCTGTAAGATAACCACAGCTCTGTTCTCCAACTAATCAGGGAATTTCCAGCAACTATTTCTTCATGAAAGCCTGCAAATGTGGTATCTGCAATTTGCTGGCTTGATTTTTCAGGCTGCACAGCATTCAGCAGTTCTCTGGCATTCCTGGGATTACTGTCTGCTTGGCATTACATTAAGCTTCTTATTTAAGTTTCTGTAGTGTGAGTTTAAGGATCTGAGTTTTAGACACTAATTTTTGCTTTGAAAATTGTGTTCAGCAACTGTATAGACTTAAAAAAAAAAAAAAAAAAATCCTGACAAGGGAGCTCTCCTCCTGAGTCTTAACCCTGGCAAGTTTTTAATTTCTCTTTCCTCCCTCCCCAGGGAAAAGATTCACCTAAGATGCAAAGCATATAAAACTGTCAGATCAGATGTATGATATGTATAATTAATGGTGTAGAACAAAGCGATAAACCCTACCCTGAAAATACAAAATCTTCCCTTTTTAAAGTTGCCTCCTGCTTTCACCCTTCCAATTCCTCTAGGACTGTGTAACATTTAGATGAAATCAGCTACTTTGGGGCAAGAAAACAGTGCCAATGTTGCAATTTTAATCTGAACAGGAACATTTTGGAGCCTGAAAAATAATCCCTGCTATCTGTGTCTCTCCTTTGGCCTCTGGGGGTGTGCTGACCTGCTGGCTGCTCTGCCAAGCTGTTCCAGAGAGGTGACATTGCTCTGCATCCCTGAAATACAACATGAGAGGGGCAGGCTCACATATACAGCACACTGCAGATGCCTCGTCCCTGGAAGTGCTCAAGGCCAGGCTGGATGCAGCTCTGAGCAACCTGGTCTAGTGAAAAGTGTCCCTGCCCAAGGGAGGGGAGTTGAAATGAGATGATCTTTAAGGTTTAAGCTGATATCCTTGTTCATAGAGTTGTTTTGAAAGGCAAAGGGAAGATTTTTGTATTCTTCTGGAGAGCTAGAAAAAGATCCCATTTAGGAGTCAGATGGCACATAATCAGCTTGTCCAAATGTAGGCAAAGGTACCACTAGACCTTTATTCTTGTTTATCTTCCTGCTGTTCTTAGCAAATTAAAATAAAATTAGCAAATAATTTTATATAAAAAATTGATTGCACATTAAAAAAATCTTACAAAGAAACCAGAATAATAATATTTATCATAATAATGACCTGAAAATTGTCCCTCAAGGACTCAAGGTGCCTTTGTCCATATGAGGAACCTTACAGAGGTGTTCTCTATGTGTTTGATTCATATAACCCAGATGTGCCTTGCAGACAGCGCAGGTGCAGTACTGAAGATTCAAATGGAGAAGAAAGACACGAGTTAAGGCCCTGATAAATGAAGAAACATATAAACTACAGGTGGAAATCCAGTATGAAGTGCTTCATGTAACCTGTTAAAGCCTGTTAAGCCTTCAGTAGTTATACTGTGAGACCTTACTGAACGGCAGAACAGCTGAGGCTGAAGGTGCTGCTGGCAATTGTCTCCTCCAACCATTTCCAGATGACTTTGGAGTATCTCTAGGGCTGGAGAGCCAACAGCAGTTATGCTGGGGTGAAGTGTTCTGAGCCAGGTATCAGTCATACACTGAAGAAATACTTGCTCTTTGGAGACACAGGAGCTGTCTGAGGAGTATGGTTAGTACTGTGTGAGAGCATGGCCTGAGCAGAGCTCTCTGACACAGAAGTTCAGCTGTGCCTTTGGGTATTCAGATGTTGTTTGTAATGACTTTTAAGATGTGTCAGACAGGAATTGTTTAGAGGAATAAAACAAAAGAAAATCACAGCGAGGTTATTGGTCTCCTTCAGGCAACAGAACATCTTGACTTGCCCCTCTGAGGGAAAACTGGAAAGTTTAAGAACTTAATTTTCTACTGAATAGTTTGAATTTTTCTTTTGGCCTGCATGTTAATATGTGCCCTGCATGTATGGCAAGTGCTCTGCATGTCAGAACATCATCACTAATCATGGGAAAGAGGAGTCCTTCATAGAAGGTCTCCAGGGAGCTGTCATTTTAAATGTCTCTGTATTTCAGCAGGGCTGGATGTGATATGGAAGGCCAGTGGTGACAGAGGCAATGCTACAACATGGGTGTCTGACCACTGGACTCCTGGAAGAAGCACCATCATCCCTTCTGTGAATTATGATTGGCAAAATTCTTCATCTTGGGAAAGATCTGAAGTGAGTTACATAAAGCAGCTGCTGTTGGCATTGCTTCCATTCTTACATGACCTAATTGCATGGAAAAGGATGACTTATGGTTAGGTAAAACTGGAAAACAGTTGCTGAACAGTGTTTGATGTTTAGTATTTGCTGAACTTGTTGTTTAGTGCATCTGTTGGGGTAATAGATGTGTAAAGTGGGGTATGTGTGCCAAAGGGAACATTTCCTGCTGTGCTGTGCAGGGACAATGGAGAAGTCAAGGAAAGTTCACTCTACTCTTAAACTCTTAGTTTTGTGAGCTGTTCTTTTGAAATACAGGCAGGCTTTGCTGACCTGCTGCATTTAATCTCAATATCTACTCTGTCATTAAAACACTGATTTGTTTTTTTCTTCTGTACTGAAAATTACACTGTTCCATGAAAACTGCCATCATTTCTGGAGAAAACTGTGTCTAGTCTTCTAAATCTTTGCAACTGGGCATTAACAGCATTATATGACTTCAGTGTAAAATAAACAGGAATGCTTGAAACAAACACCTGCTTTCACAGACTGCTATTAGATTAGATTAGGGATGTTGAGAGCCTGGGTTTATTTGTTTGGCTCAGAAGATGTGTTTGACCTCTCTTTTCAGAGGCAACATGTGCAACATAGTTCTATTTCTGCCAGAATGTGTGTTATTAATTTATGGAAACTAAAGGCAGAGTGAGAGCTGGAAAAAGAATTTTTTTAATGACTGTAATTTAGGCATCTAAAAATACTTCCAGGTTCTTTCTATAGCCTATTGCTTGTATATCTTTTCTTTTTAGCTCTTTGTTGAAAGAGCTGATTTTCCCTGTGTTTGATACAGCTACTATTTTACTGTATGTTCTTTGTACATGAAAACATAAAACACCTGCTGCAAGTTTATTTTTTAACTAACAAATTCATTTTTTGTTGGTTTTTTTTTTTGCAGTGCACATAGCAACTTGAGTAGACCTCATTTATCCTATTCAAAAATGCAAGTACTTTAATTACAACACTGCCTTTCTCCTCAAATCATTTTAATGTGATAGAATTTCAATTTGTGTAGTCTTTCCTCATATTATAGATATTTTTAATCTGAGGTTCAGCTTGTTAGCATCTGTACCACTTCACAGGCCTACAGGATGCTATTAGGCAACCAGGTTGCAAGGACAGAATTCAGCAGATGGATTTCAATTTCCTTACCCTTAGAAATAGGGCTCCAGCTACCAGGGAGACCTATTCCTCCTCATTCTTTCAAGATTTTTAAGTCTTTTATAATTAGTACTTCATCTTTATTCCAGGCACCAGTATAGTAGACAAGCAAAGTAATAAAACTCTTTTCATGCAGGGCTTTCCTTCCCTGCCTGATGTCTGTGGTTTATACCACACATCCAGTTGTGTCTGTGACTGTACAATGTGCAAAACAACACCTTTTCTATTGAAATAAAATTCTTGGCTTGGTTCTTCAAATTTGCATTTTGTCTAACACTGAAATGATGTAATTTTTTTGGTCCAGTGTGTGAACTAACCTTGTGGTACTGGGGACAAAATATCAAGCAGAGTAGTAAAGAGGGTTACTCTGAAGTTACAATTCATGGTTGGTACATATGGATTGGCATGAAATCCTGATGCAACAAATGAAAAGTTAGTGGCTGAACACCTTTCTAGTGACTTTCTGAGCCAATAATTCCACCTACTGTAGGCATGCATGGGTTCCCTAATGTGTGAGGGTCTCACTTGGTTCCTTGTCCTCTATTTTTAGGTGAAAATGAAATTAGAGCTCTAACAGAAGAGCATGTTTTTGAATATCAGAAAATACAGTCTCTGTAGAAAGTCCTTATGGGACTATTTATTTATGTATAGTTAAGGTTTGCAGCCACTATGTGTTATGTGGTGATTGCCTGTAGGGAAAAAAAGTGTATTTATACATAATGAAGTAGTGCACAGCTACTAAAAGCAGATATGCTGGAAATTAAACCAGGAGAAAAAGTATTTCTTTACATTATTCTCAGTGGTGTGCTGGGAATATATAGGGTTTCCTAAATGATACTTGGGCCTCTCCAATAGGTACATTATTAGATGTTTGATATAAAACTTCACTGGCTATGCAGAAACCCAGGCTGTATCATTACAAATGCATCTTCAGTGAGCTCTTTTTTTAAAAAGCCACATAATTTTATGTTGCATTACATTATACATATTATAATATTGGCTTTTTGCAAATATTAAAGTGAATGTTATATGTATAAATATTGGAAAACTTTGCTATAGGAAACTTAGAAATAGCGGTGTGATATATATATGTATTTTTTAGGCTGTAGTATGGTATTAAAATAAATTCTGCTTTTGTTCATATAACCCAGAGAATGAAGAGATGGCAAGAAAATCCCCCCCTGCATTCTTAGGTTATTTTATCCTGATGAAGACAGCAGTGACCAGAGCTCCAAGGGAGGAATTTACTGAACTTCTGTTACTGGGGAGTGTGAGACTCAACAGAGGCAAGAAAATTGATCTGCTGGGGAGAGGGGAGTTGAAGCTAAACAAAAGAACATCTAAAATTTAAGAGGAATGCTTGAATCATGCATAGGAATTTATGAACATGCAAAAGATTTGTGTTTTTAAGGGACAATCCTTGGTTAGGAAAGTGTGCTCTTAGCTGAATGCTGTGACAGCCAGCCGCATTTGTTCATTTTGCTTTATTTCTGTCTCCTAATCATCTTTCTGTTAAACCTTTTAAATTTTATATTAAAAAAATGTGAATTTTTTTAACTGTGCATTTGAACTGTTTTGACAGCAGGAACGAGCAACACTCCCGGGATGGTAGATGAGATGTGCCAGAAGCTCCGGGCTGTGGCCGGAGATGCGGGTCCAAGGCTCATTGGGGAGCGGCACCGAGGGGACAAAGGGGACAGGACAGTGGAACCCAGATCCCAGCAGGGCAGAGAGGAGGCAGCCCAAGATCCCAGGCACCTGAGCACACCAGGCTCAGGAAAATGAATCCACAAACACCAGAGGTTTATGTCCAAAAAGGAGACAGAGGAGTCCTTCTTCTTTATTCAAATAAAGGGAGAGGCCATGGGGTCTCTCCAATTTTTGGAGGGCACAGCCTCCTTTTTACCCTAAATTCCCTTCTCTCTTTCCCCATAGGCTGAGGTACTTGAGAGCTACAGACTTCCCCTCAATGCATAATCCCTTCTTAATTCTTAACTCTTGTGGAATTCGCGGCGCTTCCTCAGTGCCTCTTTCATCCTTCAATGGAATCCATCCCATCGTTTCTGTTATCTCTCAGTGCCAGTCTTATTTTATCAGCAGAACCACAGCTTGTTTGTAAAGACAAACCCGTCACTCCTCTCCCCAGGACAGGTCTGTGGTTTAGGGAGGCAGATGTTGGTCACTCTGTGGTTTTGGGAGGTAGATGTTGATCACTCTGTGGCTTAGGGAGGCAGATGTTGGTCACTCTGTGGTTTAGGGAGGTAGATGTTGGTCACTCTGTGGTTTAGGGAGGCAGATGTTGGTCACTCTGTGGTTTAGGGAGGCAGATGTTGATCACTCTGTGGCTTAGGGAGGCAGATGTTGGTCACTCTGTGGTTTAGGGAGGTAGATGTTGGTCACTCTGTGGTTTAGGGAGGCAGATGTTGGTCACTCTGTGGTTTTGGGAGGTAGATGTTGGTCACTGTGGTTTTGGGAGGTAGATGTTGGTCACTGTGCTTTGGGGATGTAGATGTTGGTCACATTCCAGTCCAATGCTCACCCACAGAAAGGATGAGGCAGTTCAGAACTGGGTTCTGGTAGTGACAATGAATTCCCTTCACAGTAAGTGACAGCTCACCTGCCCTCCAAAACCCAAAGTGAGAGCTCTAGCAGCTCCCCAAACATCTTTTTTCCCTGTCCAAATCTCCAGGCATCCCTCCCCTCTCCCCTGAGTTTCTCCACTCTTTTGATTTTCTGAAGTACCCAATAGTTAGTTTGCTAGCAACTTACAGGAAAAAAATTCCATAAGTACACAAGAAAGAAACCAAACCCCCAACACCACCTAAGACAAGTGACTTTCCAAAAATGTGTTTTACTTCTAATTCTTTTGCCCAGTATTAATTTGAGAAAAGAAAGCTTTATTACAAAGTAAATGCAAATGGGTGGGAACAAAAGGTATCCTAAAATGCTGACAGATGGTTAAAACAAAAGATTAATTAATTAATTTATTGATAAATGCAGGGGGGTTTTAATCTCGCCCTGCCCCCTATCCCTCATCACAGGTACATAGGAGGCATGTCAGCTGCACAGCCCAGGAGACCAAAGGTGACAGTGCATGGAGCAGGGCAGCAGGAGGTACCTGTCTGTCAACAGGTTTCAGCTGGAAACAGGAGTGGTGTGTTTGAAAATGTGTTATCTCTGATCATTAATCAGACCTGGCTGATTATCCCTTATTAATCCCTTCCTGGCTGTCCAATAAAGACATCTTTCCATCAGTGCCTGCAAATGAGGTTTTGTGCACGACTGAGAGGAGGTAAACTTTTCTTTCTCCCTAAACTTAATTTCTGTCCCACTTTTATTTGTCCATGTCAACAACAGAACTACAACAGAACGATCACAAATGTACCCATGACTGCCTGTAGCTCTCCACCCATCAGAACACCACCACAGGATATCAGAAGGACAAAATGAAATATTTTTGATGTGGTGTTTCTGTGTCCTACTAGAATATAATGAAAACCTGATTTCTGATTGAGATTATTTAGCAATATTTTATGTTTGAGTATGCCTCTGTTCACGTGATCTCTTTCCCCAATATGATGGAGAACACAGAACCATTAATTTTGTAAGCCTTTTTTTTACATTAGAATCACATAATAATCTGGGTTGGAAGGAATCTCTAGTTCCAAATCCCCTGCTATGGGGAGGGAAATGTTCTTTACGTTATTAGGGCCAGCCAAAAATGACACACAACACAGACAGGATTAAGATTTAATAATAAACCAAATAATTCATCACAGATTTATATGCAGCTACAAAAAGGAGACACTAGACCTAGAAGTTTGGGGAAAAGTTTTCTCTTTCACTGTTGCTACATAGAGATAATCCTAATGTTTTTCAACAGGCTGTTCATCTATTTCCTTCATCAGTGCCACATTCTATATGTTTAAAGTTTTCCAAAATACCCTGAAGTTTAACATTTATATCTAGAATAAGCTGAAGGGATTCTCCTCTCCTACTTCCCAGAATTGGAAAAAGAAAGTAGAAAATAGGAGGAAAAAATTCCAAATATTCAAACTGCACTAAGCTTTAAATCCAGCTTCCACAGGTGTGTAGTATCAGTCACCAGAAGACCTTACTTACGTGTGAAAGTAAGATAAGGAGTTGCTCTGTTTCTCCTGTAATGCTTTAAGTTTCCAATACTGGGAAGAAAGGTTTTTAATCCTGTAACATGAGATTTGTATCAACAGCTCTGGGTAACTATTTCCTTTCAGATTCTGACTGCATGAAGCTCTTGCTCTTACAAGCACAGATGAAAAAGTGCAGGTAGGATAATCCAGATTTAGTTAATATTCTGTAAAACTGATAACAATATAAATTCCATTCTTTCTTTGGAGTGCACAGTTGTGCTTTCAGTTACTCCTGATCAGGTGATGTGTTGGTACACAGGAGCTCTTACAAATACCTCCTCTCTGCTGGTAGAGCCAGGTACACTGGGTGTGACTGGAATTTGAATTTCCCACACACCAGTGTGTGTTCAGCCCCCTCCTGCAGCCAGAGTATCCCTGCCTGGGGAAACAGTTCTTCCTACAAATGCCAACAGCTCTGCCTGGCCCTGTATTTGCATGGGTTTTATGACTCAGCTCAATGCAGACTTTCCTATCTTTTTTTTTTATTTTATTTTTATTTTTGGTGCCTGCTTAGAACAACAGGGTTTTTCCTTAGAAAATAACTTCCTGTTCTGTGGATGTTTCTGCAGAGCCATCACTGCTGCACTGGAGTAGATATGAAATTGTTCATAAGTTCAGCAAAAAGCTACTTTAAAATCATTTGTTGTTCACAGATACTGTAAACATCTATTTTGATCAGTTAAGAAACATGGCTGCTTTTAGTAAAAGCAGTGTCTGGGATGATTTTGTTTTGATTGCTCAGCACTGTTGGTGTTGAAAATAGGTGTGTCAGTATTCAAGAAATGGTCCTCAGGCACTCAGATTTCTTTAATAAAAAGCAAAATTCTCATTAAGAGGCAATTTTAAAAAGCAGTACTATCCATTTTTTGGGGCTATTATGCATATAGAGTGTTTATAGTTCCAGCAAAGAATGAATTAATGGAAAATAAAGTTCTGTCATGCACTAGTGCTGCAGCATTGTAACATAATGTATGTGAAGCTGGTTATAAGTCAGCCTTTCAACAGGATTGTACATGATCAAAGCTTCTCAAGTGAGAACTATGTAGCTTCCCTTCAGCACAGACAGCTCAGGTGTTTTGCCTCAGGTGCACATTGCTGGTAGGATTGAGTGTGTCAGCCTGAAAATATCTGCCTGTTATGATGTCTAAATAACAGATCACAGCCAGGTCATGGCAAGGCAAAGTGCTGTTCTTTTAAGGGAAGTCCTAGCAGGTAGGACAGTGTGTTCAGCAATGAACTCATTCACAGGGACCTGGCTTTCTACCCTCACCTTCTGCAAACCCTGACTTCTCAGAATGATAGTTCACCCAGGGAGGCCTGGTGCCTGAAGTAGTTATCCATCACTATAAGCACGTCTCAAACCATCAAACACCTCCCACAGGGCTCTTTCGGATGTTAGGTTAGTGATTTTAAGTCAATGAATTGTCTTCTGAATTTTTATGTGCATGGACATAATACTAGAGTCTAACAAAATTCTGTGCTTTTGAAAAAAGCTGCTAATGAGATAATACTGAAGCTCTTATTTATTAATTGTTTATCATTATCCAGAAAAGACCCATGTAATCAAGCACAGATGTTTGGTTTTGATATAAAACTCACGAAAACAAGCACACTCTCTGTTGTAGGACCTAGTGTAAATTTGCTATCACTGTAGCAGTGGTACATTATGGGGGATAAAACAGAGAGCACAATGGAACTGATAAATGAGCCTGGTATCTTGGGCCTAATGAAACCATGGGAGAGACAGACACAGATAACTGCTCCCTGGGGTAGAAGTGACCAAGAGATGTGTTGTGAAGCTTGGTAATGATTACCAGGTAACTGATGTCATGAAGAATGTGTAATCAATGGAAATTGTTACCAAAAGTAGAACCCTATGTAAATACCACACAAGTCAAACCCTATATAAATGCCTTGTATACTCAATAAAATCGGCTTCTGATCAACTCACATGTCC